TTTTTTTTAATTAAAAAAAAAAAAAAATGGCTCACCATTATTGGTTCCGTCCCGATAGCGGAACCAATAAAAGCGTTGTTGCGGCCGGAACATTTGGGAGATGCGGCATTAACTTTTTGTCTGGAAAATATGAGCAAGTGTAAATGTAACGAAAATTGGTTATCCAGCCAAGAGTTTTCTCCATGGCTAAAACCAGGGAACATACATGAGGCTCAGTGGATTTTGTGTAGTGATGGTGAGATGAGGCCTCATGAGGCATTGGACCATTTGGCCAAATTGCTTCAACGATCCCCACACTTCATTAGGCTTCATGTGAGCATGTCACCACCTACTGGTGAAGGGCAGAACCACAGTTTGTAATAAAATATGTGATTGTTTTTTTTGCAATTGTTTTTCTTTTTTTCCCCTTTTAAGTTCCCTTGAAATTATTAATGGTTGGTGTGTATAATAAAATCTTTTGTAAGTTTTTTTTAAGTGTAAAATTTCTTAGAACAATCATTTAAGGTGCACAGTTTTTCTGCCATTTTAGTGAAATAAACTCAAGCAGACAGTGAAAGTGTTTGTACAAATTGGGCAATGATGAACAAAATCAAAGGTGTTAGTCATTTTTATTCAAACATTAGTTTTTCCACGTTTTTTGGTTTTAATCAGGTTGGAAGTTGTGTTCAGCCAATCTTTTGACTAAACCGACCTAATTTTCCCAGTCTATATTTTTACTCGGGCAAAACAATGCAAATTAGTCTCATCAGCCAAAATAATTAAGTTTAATCGCAACTTTCAAAAGACAAGTCTTGAACCATCAACCTCTAGAGTGAGAGCCTGTCTCTTACAGTCGACGCCACTCATGTAGATAGTATGAAATGGGAGAAAATACTTCTTAACACTGACGTGTTAACACTGGCTTTGTCTGGTGGTTTGCTCAAATTTTGATCATTACATTGTTTATTCTAACCAAATTAGCTTTAAGCAACTAGATTGGTTGGAAAAACAACCAATTTATTCTTAGAATCTATCCAAACGAAACACAAAGCGTCAAAATCGAGTTCCCGAGAAACAGCCGGTATTTCTCAGTTTAG